AGTTTCACAGATGACACCTATACTGTAAGTTGTTACAGTATAGGATACTGAAAACTGAACAAAATAAATATTTAATAAGTTAAGTTTCAATTAAACAAACGCTATTGTTATGTCGTTTTATATTAATACGTGATATTGCTGGCCCTTCATGCACAAGTCCAAGTCGGACTTGGCCTTTTTTTCAAAGTGACTGTTATGAATGACAGTATGATAAGTTGTTTCCATTTTGTCACAGATCGTTGTGGCTATGTTGCTAATCCAGGTATGCTTTTAAAAATCACGCAATGACCAACAGGTTCATTTCCATGGTCTCCTCTTATCATAATGGTTTTATTTGTCATTGATTTATAATTATTAGGTGATAATTTTATTGTTGATCGTTTTTATAAAAGTGATTTATTATAAAACGTATAACTATTGCGTGGGTAACCAAATCTTACTAGACAAAATTCCCGATTTCCGATTTAAATTACTTTACAATTCAATTTTAAAAAAATTGGTTATTTTCTCTCCTTTTTCCTTTGTTACCATTAGCCACAAATGTATTGTCAATTCTTATTAAGTCATTATTTTGAATATCAGGTCATAATAGTAAAAACAACAATAATCAAAGTTGTTGACTTGCTATAGGCCAATAAGAATTCATAAACGTTTTATGACGAAACTATAATACTCAGGTGAAAATTGTCTCGCATTGAGTTAAAGTACATCGACTGGAGGTCCTAGATATTGAGAGTGGACATCATAAACACTAGTTTATTATGATATTAAGAATAAAACTAAAGCGGGGCTTGGTCCCTCATTTCTAAGCTGCTTGTCATTTGGTATTTTAGTAGTGAATGACCCAATTACTTCAGACATACTCTTTATATTACTGATCATTATTTATTATGATTATGAGATGCAAATTGCATCGCAGGTACCCTAACACCGGTCGTATTCTCTACACCTCTACAACAACAGTTTTATGAGTTAACGTTTGCCTGTTAAACATGAAAGTGCCTGAAGGCTTCATATAAATTAAATGTGATTGATCAAAATTTAATAGACAGTACTTAAAGAAAATATGAGGCAGCCAACACATTTCCTAACACGAACAATAATTGCTTTCTCAATTTGCATCAAGTAGTAACGAAAATAATTAACAAAAACGGTAACGAAACCAACCGCAAAAGTGGGTAGGTAAAGCTATCGGTAGTTTTTCAATAAGCAATAAATAATGCAACGCAACGGTGGCAGGCGCACGCGCCGCTAACAAGGCGCCCGCGCCGTGCGCCCGCGCCGTGCCATCGTTGTGCAACCTGCCCCACCCTGCACAGGCGCGCGGACACTATCCGCAACTCATAAGCAAATAGCGAATTGCTAATTGTCTGTTACTAACAGGGCTTTCAAGTGCTGATTTTTGTGAATGGAAAGATAATATAATGTTAATCAGTTCTATCTAAATTCTTATTTCAATAAATTATTTATTCATGTGTTTGTATTTAATTATACATACTATTTTTATGTTGTCTAGGTTAGCTAACTGATTAACATGTATTATTTAAATAATTGAACCTGTGTCGAGAAACATATTTACTTGCCTAAAGGGGAAGTTTTAGTATAAGTTATGTCCTTAAATTATTTTATAAGATTAAATGTGTGTGTGTTATGTACTAAGTATATGAATAAGTTCCATAACTGGTACTAGTAGTAAGATTATCATTCGCTCATGATTTCTGTCTAATTCTGTCTAATGAAAGCTTCCCTAATTATCGTTTTTTTTAACTATTTTTTGTGACTGAAAATAAACTCTTGAAAATAAAATAAAATCTGAAAATAAAGTTTGAATATTACCATATTCCGTTGTAACTCCTCACTTGGACCAGCTCCTTAGTGATACCGTTCTTGTCCGACTCCCGTGCCCACAATATGCTATAGGGTCTACTGCGTCCACTTTCTGTATCTATTAGATCACTACGTCACATACCATATATAAAACTTAGCTAAACTTTTGCTATCAGTAGACTGATTAAAAAAAACTATGGATTAGACTTATGTCCTCCAAACACGAGGTACCTTTCTAATGTTGCTGTGTTTCGATATCGACAGACGAAAACAAGATTCCACATATAGATAACGTCTTATTCATTAAGCTGGTAATTATTTTGGTTCAGGTGATTGTAGGCAACGGTCTTTGTTGGAGGTAATGAAGTAATTCGATTGGAATTTTGGCAGCGAACTCTACTTTATCTTCTGTGTAAATATACTGAAGTTATTACATAATAAAAACGTTTATGGACATTAACTGGTACGTGTGTACTTGTACGTGGTGTTTAGTTGTTCTGATTAGATCAATTTTAATAGTTGGCCAATATGGCGGTCTAGATGGTGTTGGGCGGTTTCGTTTGTCGCAAATTAATGGCAATAAAGCATAATCATATCGTAAACGGCGTTCGTGAGGCTGCGCCGGCACTAGCCTCCGGGCGCCCTTCGATTCCAAGATGGCGCTCGAGTTTAATCGTATTTGCTGCTTTTTGCATAGATTTTTTATGGCTAATAGCTTTTTGTGATCTGTTTTTTGTTTTTGTTGGACCCAGAAGCGTCAGTCCATTGTAATAGGCCGTTTAATTCACTTCTAGAGTTCCTACTTTGTGCCAATTTTTTTCGATTGACCTTCTGTTTCGTGGGAGTTTAGTCAACCAGGAATTTGTGACATTCATTTTAGAATTACTCTTAGCCTTTGTTTTCAATCGGATCAGTAGGTAATGATAATTTTTTGTATGTATGCTTTTTGCATACAGGCACACGATTAGATTTCTAATCCATAGTCACATAGCTGATCTTTTTACATAAAAACAAATTACTGTTTGTTTAAATAATTTGAACTTACTACTGATTTTTTCTTACAGTTTTATCGAATAGGCAAAGTGAAAAATGGTGTGCATTATGAGGATATATATCCCTTGAAGTATTCGATTTTACCATACTGAACAGATCTAAAGTAAAGTCGGTAGTTCATAGTGAATGAAATAAAAATACAGGAATAAAATATTTATTGTTATTTATTCATTTTGACAAGGTATTCGGTGACCTTTGAACGACTAATAGGTATCAAAAGTATAAAACAATAAGGTAATAATCTCTATAAATTATACATTCTAGTTATAAGTTAAATAGCATCTCTTATGTGATTCAAACAAGATTTGGTACGAGTACTACGAAAACATTCATACTGTAGGTAACGTTGACTTGGAAGAACAGAGACCAGATTTAAAGAAAAATCGACCATAAAAACTTTGACAGTTTTCACTATAACATTCAGAAAATGAGAAAATAATAAAGTTGAAATTAGTTTAACATTGAATCCTGTGTAATATTAATTGGTGGTGATAATCAGAAAGAGATCTTATTGTCATGTGATATAAAATTGAGATTCAATTTATAGCTTTTTATGATCGAGTTTTTCTTTGTCCTGTATGATAAAAAATGCTTTGAAAAACATTTTATTACAAAAAAAAAAAATACAATTTCTTAAAAAAATCGTCAACATTTGGGAGTTTGGGTTATTTCGCTTTGTATTTTTTGTCATAGGAAATCAGGTTTACTTAAGGTAATATTGGAAATTACATAATGGAACAGAATAAAGTGACATGCATTGACTCATTATCACAGAGTTACATAATTCCGTAAATTTTTACCACATAAAATCTTTAAACTACATTTTCGTGTATATTTTAATGCATGACATTATGTTTTATATTTGAACTGAGCTGTAGTGGTTCGATATGGGTTTGGTTCTGGGATAAAGGGACATAGTATCTAGGTATGTATGTCTATATGTAAATAATATTATCAAGTCTACACTCGCAACAATCATAGAGATCTATCTATACTTACAGGAACGTTTAGATTAGTTCTTTGAGAGATTCATTTAACTGATACAAATATTTTCTCATTTATTGCTGTCCAGTAATAAATTAAATCACAGATTTGTAATTACATTAATTTAGTCATAATTTTGGAATACGTACAATGTTTAACACAATTCTGGAGTAATCTCTAATAAATGTATAATTTATAATTAAAAAATCTCAATAAAATTGATAATAAAAATATCTAATTTGCGTAATATTTTGAAACTTAACAATTAAGGCAGGTTTACCACACGGGATTGTAACCCGTGGCGGGCGCCCAAAACGACAATAATTTACGCAACATTCAGTATACATTATATATATACAATTTCCAAAGTAAGATAATTTTTTAAAACAACTTTTCTAACATTTCGTAAAAAATATTTAATAATATCTTCAATAAGCAACAAGTTATATTTTTATTGGTAACCGGCGTTTCCTCTCAGACTAATAATACTAATTATTTTACATCGAATAAAGCGAAATTTACAAAAAAATAGTACAAAGAAACTACTTACATCCGTACAGTACATCGATATAGCGTAATCTATTATAGCGAACACTCTCTGAACACTTAACATTAATTTTCTATTTATGTCTTTACGACGAGGAATACATACACACTACATATTTCGTATAACTATCGGTAGAGAAAATTCGGTACGCAACCTAGCTACATACACTACAATAGCTTAATATTTACATTAAGTACACGAGATTCAATATCACTTTATTTATAATACATATCCTAATAGCCGACTTGGTGGCAAGTACATTTACTTTCACTCGTTTGCGCCAATTCAATGTGCTAACGCGGTAACAATAATGGGTATTTACAGAACTGAAGATGCGTGGTCATTACGATTGCATTGTTTCCTTAGCTATACAATTACTTGAGGCTTGACGTTCTGAAACATTTTCAATGTTTGCCTTGCATTTTCATATTGTCATTGCTCATTAAACAGATTTGTAACTAAAGTTGGCGCTTATTCATTAGCTATTTGATCAAAAATTCACACTCAATATAGTTTATTAGAATACACAAGAGTCATTTGGATGCATCGACCAGATATTGTAACTGAAAGTGGTCAGCTCGTGTCACTATCAGGTGTGGTCGGCGGGGCTCGCGGTGGCGGCGGCGCGTCTTCCCGGCGCCACGCGGCCCATGAACGATCTGATCTCCTCGAAGTACGTCTCATCCGGAGACCGCCGGCGACTGTCATCCCCGTTCTCCGCTTCGTGTTTCTTGAGATGCCTATCGAGATTCGTTTGTTGACCGAAACAACGGTCACAGTGACGACACCGGAACGGTCTCTCTTTGTTATGAATATTCCTCACATGTCGCTGCAAATTCGATGATATCGAAAATGAGCGTTCGCAATATTTACAGCGGTAAGGTTGCTCTCCCGTGTGCGTTCTTAAATGTCGAGTTAGATTAGCGCTGCGAGGAAATGCTTTCCCACAGTAGGAGCATGTATATCTGTCTCTTGCTCTAGGAGCTCCAGGATTTTGAGGCACTGGTGGAGCTCGAGGAGCTCCAGGCGCTAGTAGCGTAGCGGCTGCTGCAGGTAGGAAGGGATAGCGGCCAAATGAAGCCGGTAGAGCTAGCGGTAGTCGTCGACAGAATTGTAGTAGCGCTGGGTGCGCAGGATGAGCTGGGTGCGTAGGGTGAGTAGGGTGTGGCGGCGGCGAGGGTGTAATCAGGTTGCAGTTCTCGTCTTCGAGACGAGGTGGGCGTTTGTGCATGACGCGCAGGTCAAGGGGCTCGTCGGCGCGGGGGCTGCTCAGTGGGCTGGGGTGGCGGTCGAGCGGGGATGCCGGTGGGGACGCGAGGCGGCGCGGCGCCGCGTGCTTTTCGCGCATGGCGGCCGCCGCGCACGCGCTCATCGGGCTCGTGCGCCACCGACCTGGAACAATGAAACGAAAAACTTGTTAGCCTTCACTCATATGACTTTATGATCTATTATTTGCAATAGAGGTATGAAATCAAATGTATTGATAGCCGTATGTACGCTAGAACTAATCACAATAATGATAGACCTGTCCCGGATCTGCCTCAGCGCCACAATAACGTCATAGTGAGGCAATCTGAACACAACAACTGATCACATTTTATTGATCAACTTTGCCCCTATCAGCAATATCCTCCGAGCACCGGTATGCTAAAACTTGTATAAATATTGCGAAATGACGCGCTGCGGTGCGGCGGGGGTGGCCGGCTGATCGATGTCGGCTCCTACGCTCGCCTTCGACTCACGCCCACTTACTTGCGACATCGGTAACTAGAGCACTTGCTACCGAAACCACCAAGTTTTTTGTTAATTATTAATACGCTTTATAAAGCCAATATATTGCGTTCGAACCAGTTGCTTATGGAAGAGTTGCGAATGCGATCGACTGGCTAGAATCAGAATTGACATCCACGTAACAAGCTGCTCCACATGTTCAAGAAGTCTTGGGCATGCGCAAGTATTTAAGCGATGAGTGAAATACTTTATGCTTGTTACCGAACCTTGCCCCAGATGTGTCTGTCTAGTTTTTGCCAATCTTGTGTATTCTCAACAATGGCTCTCACTTCGTGTAAAAGTGAAATCGAAGGCACGAAATGACATGAAAGATACGAGTAAACGTTATTAAAGTGCTTTCCTTTCGCTATTTCATGCTTCTGCCCACGTAGTGCTATAACAGATAGTGTTATAACAAAAATATTATCCGCCGATAATCGTGCAACAATAAATTGGACAACTTCATTGAAGATAGATCGGCGCGCGCCATCACCCACGTACGTCACGCGCATTGTTGGCGTGCGCCGGCGTCGATACATTTACATGTTAAACTACATTATGTTGTCATTACTCGGTACCGTGATCTATAATCGTTTTTGTCTCAATGCCGCGTGGTTTTCGGTACTCTTTGTTTTATAAGGCGATGTGCGCTGTAGCCGAACTCCGCAACCGGTCAACTTCGTTCACAAGTAGACCGCAATGACACTGATAGAGTGGTCCGATAGAGGCACGGCTATCTGGCTAACTCGCAGCTTACTATTATAGATCGTGCTGCCCGAAACAATGTTAACTTATCTATGTAAAGACAGAGTACTGTAATGGGTACATTCCTTTGCTATAGGGTTAAGCTAATGCAATTTTATCGTGCCATTAACATAAAAAGTAAAAGCAAAGCATCCTAATAGTGCTGCTACAAATTTGTTCGCTCACGCCTATACCCGACACGGGCTAATTTGCGCCAAAAGGAGCCGACATAAATCCTTTGAACAAGGGTCGGGCACAGACGTCAGGGAGGCCATATATGGCGCGGTCGTGAGCCCTCGGTTCCATACTTATGATTTGTGGCGCAGGCGCAGACGTGCCCCTTTTATGCAAGGATTAGGAGAATAATTATGTTATGCAGACAATCAATATTAATCGATGGGCGAGAGCTGCGGATGTGGAACCATTTGCATTGAAAGAGAAAGGCAATTAACTGAGGTCAGTTTCTATAGTTAAAGATTTTTGAGTTATAAGAGTTAGGAGCTTTTTCCGTACGTTACAGAGTGAGTTATGAAAGCTTCTTTTGGTGTTCTAAGAGACATGACATTACATCCTGTTTCAGTTAGATAACACGTGTAGTGATTATCAGATTTAAAATAATAAAAATCTAAGTAAGACGCAGGAAACATGAGAGATCTTTTCCTGAAAGCTGTGTTCGGAAGCCGTAACTCGTGTTGTTGATGTTAGTGGTCCGGCTAAGCTCAGTTGCACGTTTCGTAAGTAGCGTTTATAGCAGTTTAGCGCGCGCATCTCCGCTCAGTCACGACCCACTAATTACTGGTAATTAACGATGTTCGGGCGCGGCGTGACGCGCGCGCCGGTGGGCGGGGCCAGCGTCGTTATGTATGTTAATGTAAATAGCGTGGCCAATGAGAAACATCATGCCGCGCCGACGCTGTGATATATTAGCATTTGAATCGCTTATTCGTTCCGTCGACTAGTGCGCACACCGACTGACCACTTTTGTGACTTTGTGTTATTCCATGCGTTTCGTAGTTCGTCCCACTCGTTTCTTATGCAAAACAATAATAAATTACCGCGATTCGTTTTACTGTGCTCTGTGTATTTGGAATTCCGAACGTCGACGATAAACTATAGTAGCGATAAATTGCTTTATACAGTCCATGTAATGTAGGTATCATGTTAGAGGCGAGGTGTGAATGGGAATGAGATGTTGACTTTGTGTTTGTATCTAGAATTTGGTTTGAATTCCATTTTGAATCGAAATTATAAAATAACTTTACTGAACTCTGTGTTTGTACCGACCTAATGAAATACTGAATAATTCGCAATTTAATCTGACTTATTAGCTTAACATATTAATGTTAATATTTTATCGATAAATTATTATAATTTATTGCACATAATGAGGCGTGATACGAGCCACGCAGTTCGATCAATCATGGCGATTAATTTAGTATATGTATATAGATAGTACGTATGTAGTTGGTACAATAGTGTTTACTCAGTGAGCAGCCAATGGTAGTAGTCTCGCATGGCCGCCTGTCCGTAACACACGATGCTGCGCTCATTCGTGACGCCTCGTTAACTTTACCTACAACTTGTACAATATGAACATAACATTGACGTATTCTAAAGCACACTTCATTTATGTAACAACTTGACAGGTATTTGATATGACTAGCTTATCTATATTTACAATCAGTTTTACTTTTGCACGCTTCATTGAAGCACTAGTGAATTAGAATATCTCTTATGAAAGTTTTTAGCACATAATATCCTTTCATTTTCGATTAACTTTGACGCGTCAACACACCAACTAATACCTTTATTTCAAAACAGTAATTCAAAGAATGTTTCAAGAGAATATTGTCGAAAAAAGCGTGAGTCGCTCAACAATAGGTCTAGAGCGGAGATTGCTCCATCGCCATTGCTACCGCGTATCGATAGAATGATTAATAAAAAAGTTGACGGCTTCCATAGGTCGCAACACTGCGTAGTCACGAAGCCGGTCCTTCGCAATGTTGCGATGAAATAAGTAATAAATCGCTGACTATCGTCTTGCAAAAAAGAGGGAAAAATATTCGTGCGACTGCAATAGATGAAGTAAGCAATTTGTTAATGAATATTAGTAAACCTGCACTTGTATGTCTCGCTGCACAAACATGAGCATAAAGTCAAGATTTTTTAGTTCAACTTGAGCTGCGACTTAGCTAAATAAAGATAAGGACTTGTTCATTACTGATACTGTAGATAAAAATATTGTTAATGGGTGCATTGGCAACATATTTACTAAAATTAGTAGTGGAAATCACATAAGTCATGTAGTCAATGGTCGACATTCCGTATGATATTCTCATACGATCGCGGTCGCAGCAGATTCACACGCACCGCCCGCTTTTTTAGACGGCATCGTATCGACAACCACGATCTTTGATTTATTTCACATCACTATTTTAGGAAACGCGTCGCGCCAGTCGCCTTATGGCGAGATATGAAATTGCTCTGCGATGTATGTACTTAGAATCAGTAGTAAACGCCCGCTGCTCAGATGGATCGATTATGTCCGCGAACGTATCATGTCGCGTATTATGCGGTTGATCGTTGCAAAACCCAAGCTGCAGCACTAAATCCTCCTGTTAAACGCACATTACTTACACTATATTAGGTCATGCAATTTAAAGCTTCTTCATTGAATATTATCTTTTAGATGACAACTAGTTTGTTGCCTGTGCGAATTTATTTAGCATTTATGTCTCTTAACTAGACGCGGTCTTCGATATGCCATTTGTTAAGATCGTGATGGAACGCAGTCGTAAATATTGGTGTCTTTCTTTAGCATATTCAATGATAGCTGTAGTTTATTGACAAAGGCCATAACTTGACCTGTGCGTGACATGATAATGTGTTCGTGGGCACACAGACGCAAGCCTCATGTTACACTGTATCGCATTGTTGTAATCGCGAGCCAATAAACTGCGCAAATGGACTCGCAATTCCAAAATTAAGTATTCAATACAGCCACCGATGTTCGAGTTGCCACGCGAAATAATTATCTAATCTATTATCGAATTGCATTTATGGACCAATCACAGCGGAATGTAACGTATTTTAGAGTGGGCATTTAATACACCTAGCGGGCCGATTCTGGCCAATGGCGGATTGATTTACCACGCATGCGCACTTATGACGATAATGTTGTTTATAAAAGTTGCGATTGCATGTGGGAACCGGGGCGGCAGTGCGACGCGCGTCGTGGGAACTGCCGGAAATCGGGACTTTTTTATGTCAACCTGCACGTTGCCTACATACAACTTATTTAGTGGCGATTAGTTATGTGAGCGGCGTCCGCAATTAAATATATTGACGCCGTTTCTGCGAAGTATCAGTAGATAACGATGACGGACCTTTTTCGTGGCATCCTGACGACTGCACCATTAAGGTGCGCTCCAAATTTCAATATCATTTTTAGTTAGTTTAATGAGAATTTTATCAGAGTAATTATTGGGGAATTGAGTCATATATTTCGTGTCGACATGAGATCCACGGTGTCTCTTTTTTGCTGGTTAATTACTAGAATTATTTAACATAATGTCAGTCTTACAAGTTGTTTAAAGTGTCCCAAGTTGTCGCAGACTTGTATATTTGCATGCGTCACTCAAATACCGTTTGGGTCAACTAATAACTGAGTGTTGCGAAATATTTTGGTCTGAAACTATTTGAGACATATCCGCAGTGTAATAAAAAGATTAACATCTACGAAATTAAATTCGGTGAATCATTCTCGTTCGTAATACCAACGTGATAATTATTTTTAATACAAACCTGTATAGATTTAACATGAATAGTAATAAAGTGATGACTTGAAACACAGGTTGC